AGGGTTCACTGCCGCCGGCTGCTCCACCGGTCCCGAGGCCTGTCGGCGGGCGCTTCATAAACACAGGTCATTTGTCAAGTGAAAGACATTAAAGTGTAAAAGCCCGAGGTATTAAGAGCGCAGCGCGTGAGCCGATCCCTCCACCGGTGGAGAGAAATGCTGAGCCTGCAGCGAGGAGGCGCGTGATGGACCTGCTTTACAGCTAACAAGCGGACGCGCTGAACTTATCGGCATCCGCTTCCCTCCGGGCTCGCAGCCATTTTCAGAAACATGCCGCCTGGCGACCTGACACCAGATTCCTCTTCACAGTACACTGACTCAATATCTGGACGCAGGACCGAGACCGGGTTCTGGTGCTCTCTGGTGGGTCTGAGTGCTCTCTGGTGGGTCTGAGTGGGGGCTAAGAGGGCACCAGTCCTCCAGCTGAGAGTTGCATGATAGTGTGAATCATCCCAATATGGTGGGGGGGGGCATGCGCCTTTGACATTTAAGTGTGGAGCTCATGAGCGGCCACCGTGCATTTGACCTTCTCAGTGTTTTGAAAATAATAATAGTGTGAAACAAGATGAGCTCATCCATGGAAGAGAGGGGAGCTGATGAAACTTTATTTAGTGGAAACAACTGAAAACCATGTATTTTATTTAGTTTTTTTATTTGTTTTTATGTCATTTGTTTATTTTTTTCAGGGATTACACTTATTGATCAACAAATAAAACAGTAGATGCTCGTTCTTTCACTTCCCGGATGATTAAAAAGAGCCTCTGGATAAAACCCATCATCTAAGATAACGTTACATTTGGAACATAGCTAGGTTAGCTAGCTAGCTAGCTAGCCAAGCTAACGGCCATGTTGGTGACGTTCACTGTGGGAGACGAGCGATGAAGTTCGCTGATCGTTTTCACACAAAACTAAATGATTTTACGACAAATATATGACGAACCGCGACTTACTTTACGTGTGAAATTATCTTTTAAATTGACAAACATCATATTTGTTATTCATGGCACAATTCAAACAGAATCTAAACATTTTTACATCTTTCTAAAAAGGCAATCTTAATGCATCTTGAAGCTTAAATAATATAATAGTGTTCCAACTTCATAGCATCAGTTGGTGTTTGTCTTTTTCCTGTTTCAACCTCACAACGCTATCGTGCACTAAACCAGCTCCATAAAGAAATGTCTTTCCGTTTGCACTGACCTCAACTAACTGGAACACCGACCCATCATCAGTGTCCCTGCAGAGAGGTCCAACATCTGGAGGAAGAAGACAGTTACAGCAGCCAATTAACGATTAATGGTTTTAGTAATCACGTGTGGTGGTAAAATGCAAGTGTCCACATACTTTACTGCTTTAGAAACCGTGTCTTTGGAGCTCCTGTGTAAAAAGCAGTCAGCGTTGCGTAAAAGCAGTAACAGTCAAGGTCGTGTTTCATTGTGATCTACTTTTCCTCCAGCTGCAGCTCTCTGCTGCCAATAAGTGCAGCGCGACCTTGACTGTGTTATTGCTTAATTGAGTGCTTACACCTGAGCGTGGAGTGGGGGGGACCCAGTGGAAATCAAACCCCCAACCCTGCCAATGTTGGTGCCACTGAGCCACACAGGAACACCTCACTGCTGAATAATGACCACACACACATGCAGATACACATTTCTCTGCAAACGCTGCACTCTTCTCCTGATAAATGTTCCATTTTTTGTGTTTTGCTTTCTCATGGGCCCATCAAGAATATATGAAAATGCTGAAAACCATGATGTTTATTCCCAAAACTAACTAAGTTGTTTTGTTGCCTTAACCTAACTTTTTACCATAATGTTAAAAAAAGACTTTCCGGGCAACACGGAAAAAAAAAAAAGGACAATTTGTGTCCCTGTACACAAAACCAATATATTGCATCTTGCGACTATTATCAAGAGCTCCCGTGAGACGGTGTTGGACAGACATGCTAAAGCATGGCCGTGTACTCTGGAGAGGACATCGGCCTCCTCTGGCCTCACAGAGTCGCTTTTGTTTCTGCGTCAGGTGACCGATGGGCTGACCTGCCAAAAAAGTCAGTGTGGTCCACTGAGTGAGTGATGCTGCCCTCCTACCTCTCAGTCCGGAGTGGCCAGTTTAATTGGGCGTCTGGATGACAGAAGGGTTCCTTCAAAGAAGCATCCATCATGTCCCTTTAGGAGCCTGCAAACTGTCGGGACTCCGGCCGAAGGGAGGAGAGAGGAGCTGGAAATGTGGACGCAGAGTCCTTCACTCATGGACTCTATCGAGGCTGAACCGGTGCTCATGTGAAATATGTGGTATTTTAGAGAGAAGTGATCAGAACAATCAGCTTGTTTTACAAGAATCAGTTGAAACTAGAAATACTGTAATATTTTCTTTGCTGTTCTTTTATTCAGGGTTATTTATATGGCTGTATACAGAGAGCACTCCTCTCTGAAGTAATCCTGTGTCCTGATATCACTTAGTCATCTCGGAGACGTCGGCAGATGATGAGCATTTCCAAACACTTGAACCGTGTGGCACGAGCTCCGCTGTTCTCCAGGAAAACAATTTAAAAAAATGCCTCGACAGCTTGACAGAATCCCTCCAAACAGTTAAGGAGGCAGAATGGATGCTCTTAACCTCCCACAGCTTTTATAGGCATCTCAAGCAGCTACACGCACCCCCACTCAGACTGCACAGCGGCTCACACTGACACGAACACAAGCAAACACCCGAGAGGCAAAGATCGAGGGAAGCGTTTCAAACAAAATATTTCAGGCCTCAGCACTATGTTTTTACATATATATATATATGTCTTCTTAATAATGTAACAAACACACCAGCACACATGCAGCGTCGTCTGGCAATATTTAAATATCATTAATGCAACAAATATTTAATAAAATAATGATACTAAGATGTTAAAAACCTAACTGATATAGTACCTTTAAACCTGCATGGCTAGATACAGTATGCATCACTAACGCTGAGCATGGAGTATTTACTGAACGGGCCGACCAGCCACAAGGGCCCCCCCTGGCTTTCACCTACAAAATGTAACTCAAAGACACATGTAGCAACCAGGAAGGGACTCAAAATGAGCACACAGGAACACAACACAACTTCAAAGAGACTCAAAGTGACTACAAAGAGACCAAAACAACTAAGAGACACAAAACAGCTGCAAATAGACACAAAGAGACTCACAACTATGAAAAAGGGAACGTTTTTGGGAGAAATACGCAGTCATCTGCGTAAACGCAGTGCGGGTTCTCTCCTCCAAGGAAAGAGAAGCTTTAAAAAAGTCCTTCAATCTGAGGGATTTGTCCTCATGAAGAGGATATTTTAGTGTTCATGCATTGGAACACATCGAGCTGTAAAAGGAAATCATCACTGCAGGATGTTTTACCCACAGAGACCCCCGACTGTTTATGTCGTTCTGTGTGAAATGTACGTGCCTCCTCCATCAGACCGCATACTGTAAACCCCCCCCCCGCCGGGAGCCAATCACGCTGACGCCTTTCACATTTACCCATAATGCCGGCCTCATGAAGATGGAACTGCGGCGCCTGAACGGCGTCGACGAGATATGAGCTTCTGAGACCCGTCCAAACCCGAGCTGTCCAATCTCCCGCCTTTAAAAAGAACCTGAAGAATCTGAGGGGAAATCATGTGTTGCGCTCCAGTGCCGCAACTTCCCCTCATCCCATCTGGGGCTTCAAAGAACCTCTTAAATCACTTTTAAAAAGGGTTGTTTCAAATTGCGAAAGCTTTCTCGAGTGTGTCCGTCTCAAACAATGCACAAAAGCCTTTTATTGCCCCTTTTTGAAGGCTGCATGCTTTTCTTTTCTTTTTGTGCAGATTTCTCTGTGGATGATGAGGAGAACCTCACACATGGACTCCCACATATTCACTCCACATCAGGGTGTTCACCTCCCCCCCCCTGCAGCCAGGAAAAGCTATTACTGCTGCACATGTCATTGCATGTTTCATCTGTAAAAATTGGTTTCATTACCCAAAAGGCTTGCTGCCTGAACTCTAATGGTCGGGCCCACGATTCATTATTAATTCAATACATTTGTGTATTTTCTTTTTCCGCCTCGGGGAGCGACATTATCGGTCAATAATGGGGTTCACAGTCGCCTTCACACAACAACTATACGACTCTAATAACGTCCTTCCTGACTATTAATTCAATACACTGTTTTTCAGCTGACGTAATCAGAAACAGGAGAAACAGTCGACAGCCGTGCTAGCAGGCGCACTGAGAAACACTAGCACTTTGAGCTAAATGCTAATATCAGCGTGCACACATGCTCACAGTGACAATGACAGCATGCTGGTGTTTATGCCAGGTGTGAGAAAATATATTTTAGTTTATTTTTGTGCTCCATTGCTCTCCAGAACAGTCGGGGTTCAGGTTTCGCTCGTTCACAACTAGTTTGTAGGACGTGTTTTCCGACTAATTAAAAGTAGTTTATAGTCAGTGTTGCCAGTTAAATTACAACAAGCTTAGTAAAGATCCAGCTCAGTTCATTTATTGTGTTAGCCGAGCACGAAACACAGACGGTAACGTCATTAGTTCTGCAAGTATTTGGTGATTAACCGAAGTATTGGACAATAAGAATTGTATTTATTTATGCTTTATTTAAAAAGGGACACATACATCATACATAGACAAATACTGTTTATAGCGGATGGCAATTTGTAACACTCGTCCATAGATCTTTTTTTGACCTGATGACGGCGCTACAGGAAAAATCAGGTTCACCAAAGTTATTAACATATATATATATATATATAATTAATAAATAATATATATATATATATATATATAACTATATATATATATATATATGTTTTACTGGACACAGACAAACTGATGTTTTATATTTTAAAAAAGCCAGAAGGAATGGAAACACACACACACACACACACAGAGCGTGTCTGGGAGGTACTGAGTCACATGAATGACACACACACACACACACACACACACACACACACACATACATCCCAGCTTGTTGTGTTGTTTCTTCAGCAGTCTCATCATGGACGTCCAGTGGGTCTGCAGCACTTTGAGTCTGTTATCGGTTATAGGAGGTGAGCTCACACACACACACACACACACACACACACACACACACACCTGTGTTTATGTGTTTTCATATGTGAGTTTATATATGTGTTTGTGTGTTTATATATGTGTTTGTATATTTTTACATGTGAGTTTATATGTTTATGTATGTGTATATATATGTGTGTTTATATGTGTGTTTATGTTTTTATATATTTATTTATGTGAGTGTAAAGACGTGAAAACCTGCATAAATAAATGGAGAAACGTGACAATCTAGTCTAGAAGGAGAACAGAGTCTGGTTCATGTGAGTCATGAACTCCTGACTGTGACAGTAAAAAATTATCTGCTGCTGAAATGTCTTGGGGGGGGGGGGGGGGGGGGGG